ATGTGAAATTTATTGGCAGAATGGCACTCTTCACCTAGAAATGCGAGAGATCGTCCCAAGGACTGGTTATGAATAGTCCATTTCTTTCATCACATCCTGATTAGTAACTGTAGTAGAGGGACTAACCAATAACGGGCCAATTAAGAGCGGATTATAGGACGAAATTCTAACAAATGGAGAAACTCGTTTATTGGGGAAGAGGTATAGCTCAGCCTGCATGGATCCCATATAACTGATTGCTTGGGCGGCTAACAATTACACGCCCTTCCATGTGGCAGCTATGTAAAATTGCATGTCAACGTCATTGTTTAACTACTTACGTCGACTTGGATGATCCCTTATTTGGTATGTACTAAAGTGGTAGCATTTTGTTTTTTGTTAGGAAAAATTCTGACGAGTTGTAAAGTGCGCTATGAAAGGAATTAGATCCAAAGTTTTTATATAATTCTCCAGAAGAAAAGGAACTGTTATAAAACGAGTTCGGCAACGAAAGGAATTACATCCAAGGTCTTTGTTTAAATGGCCTGTAAGAACGTAGCAATTAAAAAACGCGATTCGGGACCAATAAATTTGAACCAATAGATAAACTATTTGAATGTTGTAAAATGAAATTTTGAAAATTTTAAAAGTAGGAAATTCTAAATTTATGCTAGAAAGGCCACAATCACTAATTCTTTCAATATAATCTGCATTTTTTGAAGGAATTATGTCTTTTGCAAAGGAAAACATTGAAATGCTATCCTCTTCGAACATTACGGAATAGTTTTAATTTTCAGGATACCCTTACTTGACTGGGGCTCCAGACGATGCTTCAACACTCAAATAGAGGTAGTATGTAAGCTTTATAAAGTCTGTTTAGATTGCCTCAGTTGAAAGAGTCAATAAAAAAGGAACATTGAAGAATTTTCAAAGATCTTGATGTCCGAAAACAAAAAGGTTAACCTCATTGCCATTAATTCAGAGAGGTGAACGTGGAGAAATTGTTTTGAAGCAGTGAATAGCAAAATGATTCAGTGTTTTAAAAGGCAAATTAGCTGGCATTATGGTTTTTCCTACCAGCTTAGAAGATATTATATTTTTGTTTAGATCTTTTTTCATGCCCTAGCCAGCGTACCACCTTGGGGTGTGCTGGGATCTTGTATACCAAGCGCGCAGGCACTGCGATGGAAGCAGTGTCGAGTCGAAGCGGATAGTCTAAAAATTCTAGCTGCTGTGCTATATAAGAAACTGTTCCTCACCGTTGTTCCTCACTGTTGTTCCTCACGGCGACCGGAATACTGGGCACAGCATTTGCTTAGATGCCACTAGCGATGGAACGCTGATGTTTTTCTGCAAGCACTTTGACGGGGTGACACTAGCTGTATAAATTTGCCTTAAAGTGGACAGCCAGCTGTGAATGACCGACTGCAAACTTGGCTTATGAAGTTTATATAACTTTTTCTGGTAGCTGTTCTATTGAACCAGAATGTCAGCGCTAACTACTGCACAGAGTAGATCCAGAAACTCGCTAATGGTGTCATGGAAAACCGACCAAAACAGCGTAGTGCACGCTTTTTACGTGGTGACATTGCTAATTTGTCTATTGAGAAAGCTTAGAGGTGGTTCCCGTATCTAGATGAATCACTATACCTTACACACCGTGCAACCCGTGGTTGGCCTCTTCAGACTATCATTTATTCCGGATCTTTCACTATTACCTGCGCTGTGAGAAATCTGACAGCTATGATAACGTCAAAAAACGTGTTTCTGAAGGAGATGAACCTAACATACAATAATTGGAAACGGCAGTTGTGACATCGTTGATTGAAGATCTCCGAATAAGCGAAATGGGAAATCAAAATTCGGGAATGTCTTAGGTTATGTCATTTACATCATTACATCGTTTATCGTTTCGTTATGTAATTTCAGCGTCTTCGATAGTACACATACGTCCAATTACTGAGTTCATCGAATTTATCTGATTTTGCAGAAGTACAGATTGTAAAAATTAGCAGAAAAACAGCAAGAACAAAATGTGATCTCTGAGCAACGAAGTTATCCTATTCAAAAATGATGGTTTTTGCTGATGCTGATTCTTTCATTTTATTTATTAACACACGAGAGTCCGACGTGAACTACGATGCGGAAATAACGATCGCTTTGAATTTCAAATCAAAATCTGAGCTCATAATGCACCGCATTAAATGAAGTAAAAACAAAGTCAGTAGGTTTCTGGCAATAATATACGGGTTTTCTTCTGACATTGTGGTGTCTAGAATTTGTGTTTCTGTCGCTTTTTTTTTCTTCAAGACTGGAACCATCTAGAGCAATAACTTTACCACATATCTGTGGAATCAAAAATGAAAATTGCCTTACTGCAACCACTCTTTTAAATGGGTATTAAAAGCTCTGCAAGCGAGAGCATTTTACTTGTGTTTACTCTTTATGGGTCGCACATTGCCCAATATTTTCGGACAAACCTGTGTTTCCAATAGCTGTCGATAATTTTTCAATAATTAGAACGGCTCAGAACCAAGGAATTTAATATACTTGTAGAAGAGAGTTCATTATATTTTTGCAACGCTACAGAGGCTCGTGTAGAGCAGTGGTTAGAGGTATTCTGCTAACACATACGTGGTCTTTGTTTCGATCTCGCTCCATGTATTAACTTGGCCTTCCATCCCTCCATCTTCGCCAAATTGGTGCCAGATTTGTCCAGGAGGTTCGCAGCACTGGCTTGATACATCGACAGGCCATTGCAAGTTATAGTGTCATAGGTCACATATGCATTTATTCGTTTCTAACGTTTCTCAACGAACTCGAATGATTAGAGCATTCCTTAGAGCTTGATCAACGCAGAGTGTTTTATGCTCTATGTTTAGGGCGGCAAACAATTTTTGCGAAGTATTGTTTTAGCTGCACATTTGCTTCGAGTTAAAATTCTTATAAAACTGAAAACGAGACTTAAGTGTTCAAAATTTCCTATGCAAGCGAGGCAGTCGAAATTTCAAAGATACGTTGGGTAATATCATCGTGTCCTGCTGGATGAAATAAGCAGTTACTTCGATGTTAGAGATTTCATGCTACGTGCTTTGACACAAAAAGTGAAGAATCATTTTCTAATGAAGTGTGGAAAATTAGGATTTTGCACCTTCACAGAATAAAAAAAAGAATTTGTGCCTTACTGGGGAAAATCTATAGATTCCAGTGGCTTTTATCGTAATGAACAAAGTTTGGTGTGAGGCGGGTAGGGCAGTGGCAGTGATGATCATGGCTTTTATCACGTGCTTGGGCTGATTCGACCGTTCACCGAGTTGTCTATGATCGGCGAACTTGCTTCAATTCGATTCTAAGCTCAGCTATCTCTGGATGACAGGGAGAATCATTTCGACAAGCATTCAACGACACCGGTAACGAGGAAGGAGAATTTTCAAGAAGCAGCGGAACTCACACGAAAATTGTTCAAATAACTTTGTGGGTGCTGGATGCGAGAAGACAAATCGGATGCAAGTACTTCTGGAATCCACACAGAATGTAATGTCGGATTGCTTAGAAAAAATGGTTACCATTGTAATTAATGTAGTTCAGTACGAGCGGAGATATCTTGGCTTAAAGTTGGAATCGGTTGTTGTTTCCACATTACAGGCATCGATGTTATTCCGATATCACTACTTGGACAACTTGGATGGCCCATCTTCACTATTTGTGCTGCCCGCAGCATAATTTCCATTTTTTCGGTATTTTGCTGGTTTAGCCACTGTGGTTCCCTGTATTCCCGAGGTTAGCCTATCCAAAGTCTGCCCCAGGTCGTAATCACTACAGGCGGTCGCTGCCCGTGTGGATCGGAGGGAGAATTGCCACCATGCGACTAGCTTTATACCGGGAGGGTGGACGATCATGGCATTGGTTTACTCTTTGCCAGTTTTACTGATGGAAACCCCAGACTCAGCGTGGGAGTCTCTGCCAGAGAGATAGATCCCTCCGCTGTTCATCGCCACCTGACATCCAGGAACACTTCCCACCCACGATGAGGGGCGGTAAATCGTTGAGAAGCTGCTTAAGATTACCAATTTCTAAATACTTCTGCTACCTTTTCGCAACACAGGACTACATAATTCCCAGAACCGGTTTTGCAATTATCACCAATGGCCAGGGTTTTTGTGGTGGACACGATTTTGGGCTTGCAGTTACCGAAAATGGGGTTAAAAACTTTTCCACTAACTCAAAAATTCTCAGAGTGAATCGGTGTGATGAACGTGATATGCTATAGAAATTAATGCAATGCGTAGAAATACGAAAGGGTAATACTCATTGTATTTTCTATGCGTTTTGGAGTAATTATTTGGTAAAGTCATTAGAGATTGAGATAAGCAAGGATTGAAATTTCTTCGGAAATGTGTATGTGTTTGCGAAATTACTTATTTATTTAAGAAATAAGGATGCATGAGATATTGCCAAGCAGAGTATATCTGTTGTTCAGAGTAGGTGCGTTTTACGAACTCGGTGTGTTTCTTCACTAATATTTATCTCTTGAAGAAATTGCGCTGGACTCCATTTATTTCAGATATCCGTTGTCCTGCTGTTGAAGCCGAATGATTGAAACCGTTTTGCCCGTTCGTAGGAGTATTAGTTAAACCTGCTGAAAGCTTCTGTCTATTCATTTCTACGTTGTACTATGTGGTTTGCTGTGTGTTTTTGTATCTAGAAATGTAGAGGTCTTTAAGTGCGTGAGCTTTCCTGTGCTTTTTTTTTCATTTTTCGCTTTTCTCAGATACAGTAGAAGATGATTATTTGTTTTTGAACCATCTTTATAGGACTTGCTTGCTTTTTTGCGGGTGACATGTTCGATTTGTAAAATACAGGCATCCTAGTTCGGTTTCATTTTCAAAATTCATCATCATAAAGATGAAATCACTCTTGTCTCCTGTGTAGCCTAACTATAAATTTGTTCTACAGATCATATTTGTTTGAGATTTCAGACCTGTTAATTATTGGATTTTTTACCATTTGCAGAACAGTTTATGCTCTTTTTGCTTCTCTTTTTCGTAAAATCTCGCGCAGTTGACACATTAGCAGACAGTGGAGGATGGGAAACTGAGCTGAAAGATATTGTTGGCCGTTATGGCCCGTGTAATATTGAAAGGCACGATGCTAACGACTTGACTCAGAAGGAGTTCCTGATGAGGTTAGAAGCCTTCAACTTTTATTCCACTATCCGCTTGTTCACGAATTCACGGGAAACATTCCTAGAGGAGTCGAGGTTGTGATAAGTTCTATTGGTGAAGTGAGAGTGTGTAAAGCCCAATACCAGGCTTGATCGAAAATCTCAAGAGTCTGGCTGGAAGTGTAAATTTTTCACCACAACGGTCAAAAAATCAGATCAAAAGGTTGGAAATGCAACATTTAGATTTGCACATAGTGAGCCAGTGATAATTTACAATGTCGAAAACGAAGAGTTCCGTAGACTAACAATGCGCGAAAAGATGCTGGAGGACTGGAAATATTTTCCTGTTACGCTGAATTCTGCAAACACCTATAGCTATACTCGTGTAGGTTCCCTATTATCACTATTGTTTTTTTTTCCATCGTGTGTTTATCTTTGATTTGGTTAAGCTGACCTCGGGACTCTAGGGAACTACAATGGCTAAACCAGCAAAACTCCGAAAAAATGGGAATTATGCTGGGGCTCGCAGAGCCAGTGAGGATGGGCCATCCAAGTATCCAAGTAACTTATCTTTGCAGGTGCCAACGTCCTTGGGAGAGTACGTTGAACACTATATGAAGCCACAAAGTATTGCAATGCCTGGTAACGAAACAATGTATCTCTTTGGTGATATTGATCAGAAGCTGTGGGCTCCTTTATTGGCAGCTTATAAACTTCCAAAGTGGTCACTTCCTGACCATTCCCCTGCTTTGAGTTTTGGGTTAGCAGGAGCAGGTGCCTTCTTCATTTCGAACCTGTAATCCTTAAATTTGAGACAGTTATAATATCCTTCGACACCATTTAAATTAAGGAACTGGGGTACCGTTCCATTTCCATGGTCCTGGATTCGCTGAGGTAGTACATGGATCGAAAAGGTGGTTTCTCTATCCCTATGAGCACCGGCCAGATTTCGAGCCCGATGAGTCCACATTAGAATGGTAGGTATTTGAAACACTATTTTTCTATGTGCTCAATTTGGACTGTCATGTTTTACAGGTACCTTAGCAAATACCCTTTACTACCGAAGGAAAAACTTCCTCTTGAATGCCTTCTGAAGCCTGGAGAAATCATTTTCTTTCCCGATAAATGGTGGCATGCTACTTTGAACAGTGAAACCAGCGTTTTCATTAGTACCTTCTTGAGTCCTAATTGAGTTCATAAACTTGGTAATATCGTAATGATAGAGAAAAAGAATCTCTGTTAAGAAGAAAGGAGAGGTTTATGAAGAGGGAACACTGTCTGTTCTGTTACTACTGTTCTGCAATAGAATGTCGGTAAAGCCTTATTATTACCTCGAGCTTGTTTTAGTCTCCACCTCATACACTGTCACAGTATCGTTTCAACATGATTTTTTGTTTTGCTACTTAAGGTGGAGTGCAACTTTTTTGCAGTAGCATCTATGCTGGTCTATTCAATTGATCTGGTCTATTTTCTGGACCATCGACATGTAACTTGTTGTGCACGCTGTTGTGAGCCTTAAATATCTTTGGGTCGTTCTTCTGATACTTGACGAATTAAGTGGTTTTGTGCTGTGATATGTTCTCTAAGTAAATACTCTTATGTGAAAATTTCACTCGCAGTTTCCATCCTAAGAAGTTAGTTCTTCTATCTACGTAAATTTCACTGACTAGAGGCTAACTGCTAATTCATGAAATAATCTGGTACATGTCATCCACATTGTGGATGGTAGTTTATGAATTACTCCAGACCATGGCTTCAAGACGTCGTGCCGTTGGTGTGGCTGCAATTCAACGCAAGCAGGAAACCCAGGTTCGTCAATTTACCTCCCTAACTTATACTTAAGTACTAGTTTCTATGGTTCTTCGGCCATAATAATTATGCTGTTACATCGTTCAAGGCGAAATTCAGTGCGAAAGGTGAGCAAATGGCAAGTGAGCAACTACAAATGTTTTCGAAGCAGTTGGAAGAATTTGCTATAAGGTTGACTATAGTTCTATTTTTGTTGTTCTTTTATAGTTTAGCGTACCAATAACCGTTTTAAATGGGGTTTCATTGCAAACTTCCACTCACTACTTTCTGACACTTAGTTTCACAGTATGTTTTCTTGAATCTAACCTTATCTCCAGGTGGTCCTTTAAAATGGTTATATACATAAAAGCTCTAAAGCTCTCGGCGTTAGTCAATCCCTGAGGGATGCGCCATGCATTCGACTTCATTATCGTTGGAGGTGACTGAGTGCATATCTGGCCTTTTACAATGACTCGCGGTGGATTACCGATGTATCAAACCAGTGCTGCTATCCTCCTAGGCAAGTCTGCTACCAATTCGCCGACTCCGGAGGGTTGGAAGGCTTGGTGGGCCATGGGAGCAGGGGTCGATTCCACGTGTGTGCCGCTGTGGCGCCTTCAACCACTGCGCCACACGCTTTATAGTTACATCCATACGTGTATATATATATATATATATATATATATATATATGTATTTAAATGTATATAAGAACGCAGGAGGCGCATTGATTAGAGGTGTGATGCGCAAAGTTGGTGGTCTGAACGACCCTCACATCTGATCAACCAAGTTTCCTCTTAGCTTTCCGGGGGCTGAGCATCGGCACCAAGCTTGTCTATGAAACCCCCCTTGATCCTAAAAGAGCATTGATGATCTACATAAATGGCACCAGTACCTACACGCAAATCCGAAGGCCAGTGTTGAATTACTATTGAGAGACAATGAGCCAAAACAAAGAAGCGAGTTTAGTTCTTTTGTCCTAATCCACGTTGACTTTGAGAAAGTATTGTACTGTATGAAGAGCAACGCCATGCTGTCTGCCTTAGATGGCCAAGATATACACGCCTTTGCGGCTGACTGCACTATTCATTGTACAGTAAGGATACAGCTTTTTCTGACCGTTCATATTTCATATTATTTCAGTTAATAAAGGAATATGACTGCGTGATAATTTCGTCAAAATTGTTGACCTTAGCGCTACAGTGGTGTATGAGGTTGATTGGAGTGAAAAAGAGATACACGTTTTGCCTGGATGGATCACCAGTTGACGAGATACATCTTGCGTATATCTAGGGTATTCAGTGGATATGGGAAACGATTCTAAAGAAGAAATCGATAAACGAAAACCAGCAACTTGGCCCCCGCTCGGGTCTGTCGCAGACCAGCGAGTTTCCTGATCCTGACCAACGGGTTCCGTGCCATGCAGGTGATACGTGGTCTGATACTTCAACTGTATCAAATAACATGTGCCCGATATACTGAGCAATCTATTCGGAGATTTCTCCACTTACGAGACCCAGCTGAATGCAACATCAAGGCACAAAGATCAGTGGGCCGATCAAATAATGAGGATACAGGATTGTCTAAGTAGTAGATTGGAAACTTTTGCGCCATTTGAGCGAACGGAAGAAACAAGATCAGCATAGTGATACTGGCATAAAATAAAGATAGAAAACCACATTTGAGTAAAAAGAAGACTGGAGTGGAATCGAAGAGAATCAAAACGATCCGGAGAGAAGCTATTGAAAAGTGGAGCTGAGTTTGCCACTTACTTTAGACACGCAAACTAGTTACATTAGCGGTTGGAATGAACTTTTAAGTTGTTATACTGTAGCCGCACCCATGCGTCAATGCGACTACCATCGTTGATGACGGCAGCAAGACAACTAAACAGAATGAATACCGGGTCATAAGCTAAATGTGAAAACGGCTTGTGTAAGCAGCCATGTAGTTTTTCCCTCTTTTTTTGCTAATTCCGCTGTGCTTCATCTCATCGCGTGGTCCTTTTCGCTTAATATCTTCAGCTGTGTCCGTCACCTCCACCCCTATTTGGACCTTCATTATTCTCCAAGCTGTGCTCACGGATAACACGCATCACGTTTCTCACCATCGAAATATCGGTGTGTATAACAGCGCAACATCTATTTATTTGTTTGCTACCGCGTTTCTAGCTGACTGTTATTTTTTATCGCCACTGGGCATGCCCCACGCGTCGCATAATTTCTTGCCAAAACTTGCAGCGTTTTTGAAACGTGCTGATCTACAGGTATCATTAGTTGGACTTGGTCAGTGGTATGCCTTAAATGGTAACCTTGTTTTCTTACTGAGCTTAGAGAACTTGTGAGTCCTTAAAGTACTGTTGATTGCTTTTCCGATGTCTAATTGCAATATGAAATAGTGATTTTGTGTTACTTTTACATGAAAGCGGTGACGATAGTGTGATGTGTCATGTATGTGTTTGAAGCTATATGAAATTTTTCAAAACGACAAGAATGGATGAGATAGGTCTAAATTCTTCGCTAAACCATAACGGATGGCTGGTTAGCTTAGAGTGTAGGCTAGTAATGTTTTCGTTGACCTCTTAAATCTTGCTAAATACAATGTGACAAACAGACGCATGAGAAGAACGAAATGAAAGGTCCGCATGGTGTGGTGGTGAACGCTTTAGCTCCCAGAAAGGGTAGTACCGTGTTCAGTGCCCACCGTAGACATCTGTGGTTCGGAGTTTCCCAAATATCTCAACACCATTATGGACAGTGTAACATGATTTATGCAACAGAATGCTGCGTTGTTTTCACGATAACTGTCACCCTGAACGTTGAACATATAGGTTGGAGCAGTTTGCTCATCGTCATCGTGACGAGATCCGGAAAAATTCACAGTTCCGTCGTCATTTCCAAGAAATGTGTGCGAGCGTTGGAGTCGATCCTCTTGCTTGTAAGTTTCTTTGCAATAGGCTTTTTTATTATTGGGTCTTCCACTTCATTGTGCTATCTTTGAAACTGAAATTTTAGCTGGCAGAGGGTTTTGGGCAGAAAAACTTGGTTTTGGAGATTTTTATTACGAACTCGCAGTACAAATCGTGGAGGTGTGTTGTTAGTTTGCATTTCGTTTCCTTTTGTCCAACCGTACATGTTGCAGGTTTGTTTATCGACGAATCATTTTAATGGTGGAATCATGACAGTGGAAGAAATAAGGAGTCGCTTAATGCGCAGTAGATCACGAACGCGAAAGGAGACTATCACTACGTAGGTCTTTATTTCCTGTTCTTGAGCTCTGAACTGAAAATTTTCATTTCAGAGACGATATACTTCGATCAGTCGATAAACTGAAGGTATTGGGTAGTGGTTTTGAACTGGTTCCCTTAGGAGGAGGACGGTTCCTTGTGCAGTCGGTCCCTGGTGAGCTTAGCATGGATCACTCTCGAGTTCTTCAGTTGGCTGAAGATGCTGCTTATATCACCAAAGAGCTCATTGTTGATAGGCTGAGGTAGGCAACTATTAATTTGCTGTATACATAATAAATAGTTTGCAACTGGTTTGCTTGCCAGAGGTTTTGCAAAAGAATCCGCCTTACTTAGCTTAACTGAATTATTCGTGTTTTCTGACTTGTTAATGAGCTTGGAACGTCTTTAGGTGGGATGGACAACGAGCTCAGTCAGTGTTGGATCATCTAGTGAAAGAAGGGTTAGCATGGATTGACGAACAGGCAACGGATACCATTCAGTACTGGGTGCCCTCCTTATTTCTTCAGCAGCATTGTCACTCATCTAGCAACACAAGTGTTTCGGAAAGTATACAAAGCATGAGTGTATATTGATATGGAAGTGTATCAGGATTTATTTTAAAGCGAACAAGTAGCGCGTTTTGTTCATTAATCTGGTGTTCTACTGCGAAAATTTAAAGCCTGAATGCTTGCTAAGCTAGAAAGTTAAGCTAGAAACAAGATGGACTTGTCATGTGAGTCAGGTGTTAGCCCTTCCGCTGCTACGCGCGTCCCATTCTTGGTTTGGTCAGCTTCGGAAAATATGCTTGTTTACACTTCCAAAGTTGTAATAGTATTTCTTAGCTAGGATCAGTGGTTCTCTGTCTTATTTAATAAACCGTTCGTATTTACTGAATTTTTTTGTCCCGAAGATCACCCACCGTGGTTTTCTACGTAGTACTGTTTCCTGTTGCTTTCCATAACAACATTACATGTACCTGGAACAATTTCACAGATGTCTATAAATCATGGGCGACCGGAGCACTATGGTCCGCCTGAGCTGGTGAGAATTTACTGTGTTCCACATTACAGATATCCTAGTTCACACTGCATAAGCTGTTGATAATGTGTGAGTTGAACATTGAGCCGATAGTCTTCTGCTCACATCTTTGTTTTTAGTGTTCAGATGTGTCTAACGCCTCAATTTGCACTGTTTTTCAGTATTATAATGAATCTGAAGCATGTAAATATGCGTCGAGTTCACACACGGTAGCAATCCAGACAGAATTGGCTGAGCGAGCGCTTGAATTACTGGCTCTCCCTGACGATAAGCCAGCTTTTCTTTTAGATATTGGTAAGGGTTAGGCCATGTCGTATTCTTCTGGATGTGCTGACATACATGATCTGTCTTTTTTTAAAAGGTTGTGGAACTGGTATCAGCGGCGGTGTGTTGGCGAATGCTGGTTACCATTGGGTGGGACTGGACATCAGCGGGCCCATGCTGGGTATAATACAAGTTCACTTTGCTATTATCCGTCGTCTAAAATAACTTTTTAAAGAAGGATTTTCAGAAATAGCTAGTCGCGATGACGAAGATAGGGATAATATGGGTGATTTTATATTGTCAGATATGGGTACTGGAGTGCCATTTATGCCTGGGACTTTTGATGGAGCGATTAGGTGTGATGTTGTATGAATTATATTAGTTTTCAATTAGAATATAACGGTATTTATGTATCTTTCTAGTTTTATTTTGAAAATATTGTGAGTAACAACAGTGTTTTAGTGAGGGAGGAAAGCCTCTTTCTCTGTAACTACCTCTAATATTTAGTATATCGGCCATTCAGTGGCTATGTCATGCGAACTCAACTGAACAGAATCCGAAAAGACGTCTACATCGATTTTTCCAAACGCTGTACGGTTGTCTAGTATGTACTACAAATCTTATGTTCTATTGACTTTTACCTATCTGGTTTGGAAAGAAACCTAATAGATACCATAAAGCAGCCACTAGTTTTACTTTTCTGTTTAGTGGAAAACGAATTTTTTCCCTAGTAGTATGTACTTGAAATTGATCTCATCTAGGGGTACAATATCGCTTTTATCTTACAAAAGTGTTTTCCTGCCTATATTTACTAATATCATTTGATGAGGAGTTCATTTAAGCACCTTTATTTCAGGGTCGGGGAACTCGAGCTGTGTTCCAGTTTTATCCAGAAAATCAACACCAATCTGCTCTTATAATGTCACTTGCAACAAAAGCTGGGTTTAATGGAGGTCTTGTTATTGATTATCCGAATAGTACCAAGGCAAGGAAGTGAGTCGTTTCAACATTTTCAGCTCCCATCGTAAATGACAATCAAGTGCGCTTTTTTGTTGATATTTTAAACGTATCTTGATTTGGAACGAAGGAGTTGAAGTCGACTTCCATCCAACAAAAAGGTTAGCTTCATCTTGCGAGGCTGGACTTCACTCAGCGAACGCGGCTGGAATCAACATATAATTGATTATTTCCTCTTGTTTTAGAGTGTTCTTATTCTTGATTGAGTTTATAATAGTATTATATGCCACACTGTCAGTTAACTACAGTCCTTCGACAAGCTTTGTCTAAAGTAATAATTGACAATCACCTGTTGTGGCCGAAAATAAACCAACATCAGGAGAAAAGGAAGTGTTTCTGAATCATAATATGTTTATGTGAAACTTGACATCGTAGGTCGTCAGCTTTATTTTAAAAATTAGCTAATTAATTATGTTCTATATGGATCTTAGACTTATTCAATTTAAGGTTTAAGTCATTGCGAAATCACTTGGTTCGCTACTCTTCTTGTTTTTGTATCTTATGCCTTAGTTTACTGGATGCACTACGTAGTATTTTTTCAGTTATGTAGTACAGTCAGCATATTTTCTCAACTTCACCCTAGCAACACATGTTCCGGTTATCTTTCTGTTAAGATATCCTCCTTTAGAAGCATGCTTTTTGGCCGTCTGCTATAGTGCAGATCTGGGAATACTTACCTTGGATACTTGGATGGCCCGTCTTCACTGGTTGTGCGAACCCCAGCATAATTTCCATTGTTTCGGTGTTTTGCTGGTTTAGCTGTTGTGGTTCCCTAGAGTCCCGAGGTCAGCCTGGCCAAAGTCTGCACGAGGTCGTCACTACCACAGGCAGTTTTCTATTCTAGTTTTCTATTGTATACCCTAAGTCAGTGACGATCTCAGTATTTATAAGTTCCCTGTGAACTCGTTTGTTGCTTTTCCTTTAATTTCTTTGTTTTCTCCGAAATAACTTGCGTAATCGAACTGCACAATTTCAGAAACAAAGCAATCGCAATACTTTCGGTCTCATATTAGATTTCCTGCATTTTGGTTTTCTAGGAAAAATAGTCTCCATAAGAATCTTTCATTTGTCCTTTGTTTTGTTTGAAGTTCCAGTTTTTTTTTTCAAATCGTCGCTTCAAAGATAATCGCTTATTACATGTTAGTCTTGTGTTGATTCCTGCTAGCACTAAATTCACCTCAGAAAAATTTTGTTTCATAGACATATGTCAAAACATCTGTGGAGCGACGTTTATCACAAACAGATTTTATGTGTCCTGATGGTATTTTCTAGGCATGGATATCCACGGTTTTTGATCAAAGGTATTAATGTAATCATTTTGAATTAAAGGGTTTATCTCGTTCTAATGACTGGTGGTGTCGTTCAGCTGCCACGAGCACTAACTGGTGAAGAAGAAGAGATTGAAATGCGGCACAGTGTAGAAAATACAGAGAGGTTTGTGTTAAATGCTTATTGTCGAAATCATCAGAAACGAGTCCGCCTGATCTAAGCTTAAAATCTTAATATAGAATGTTTTTTGTTTAAATCCAAGCATTTTCAAACCTATCGATTGTTTGAAGTTTCCTACCATTAAGCAACAATTACTAGTATAGAATTCCATACTGAACATTGACAGGATTCCTCATTGTATGACCTGGAAAATTTAAGCTAGAATTTAGCAGGTCGCTTCCGTAAATGTCATCATTTAGAGTGTTTGCGGCGTCAAGAAAGAAAGAGAAGAAACCAGTGAAGGGCTCGAGAGAATGGATTCAGAAGAAAAGAGAAAGAATGATAAAACAAGGACGGTTCGTTTTTTTTCCTTCCTTTCTCTGAAAGCAAGAGTTTCGTAATGTTGTCTAAAGTCAAGTTTCGTTTGACTCTGAAAACAAAATCAGTTCTTTTCTTCAACTTAATTGTAGTGATAAGATATCGCATTGAACACTTTCTGATATAATTTTATTTCGAAACTATCTATTCTATCTGTTCTACTGCGAATTTCAAATTTTCGTCTGATTCTATAGTTTCCATCCCAATGCCGACTTCTCATTCAAATTCATCGCAATTTAACGATCCACACCTGTTTTGTGAAGTTTGTTTTTCTAGGAACGTCCGGCACGAGTCCAAGTACTCTGGGCGCAAAAGAAAGCAGAAATTCTAGAAATGTTAATGTTAAATCAGTTTTTGTTACACTGTTTGTTGGTTTACTATGTCGAGTGTTGCAGTGTTGTTAGTCGTCTTGTTTCCATTTTATTAAAGATTCTTCTGCTATGGTTCCATGATATTCTGTAAGCCAATACAAGTTTTCGTTCGAAATTTATGGGAAAGCGGAAAAGTGCTACGTTTCTGTGGAGATGTTTACATGGTTTGAAGGTTTTAATGATAATTTTAGTGACGCTGTTAAATCGATAGATGTAAGCCGTACCTAGTCAACAGACGTTGAAGCTTACAAACTTTATGTTCCATATCTTCTTGTGAGGAGAACTTATCAAAATTCCGCATTATTGTGAGTTAAAATCACCAAGTTTTCAGTGATCCTACAAAGTGTACTGAAGCTTTAATTGAACCATTGTGAGCTTAAAAGGAAATCCACTTCTTTTTGATGCAGGCTTCATGTGATCCATTAAGCTTGGTAAATGATTGGAAGTAAGGGCTTAAAAGATAGAAATTTTCTGGGTATGTAGCTGTGGTTTCTATCAACATTCCGTATTTCAGTTTACATGCTGTATCTAGATCATGTTCTAATCACCCACTTCCATTTGGGAGTTGAGTCTGGCTTGAGAACGTGAAGAACTCCGACTTGTCACAGAATGGTCCATGGGTTAAATATAAGGTACGACATTGAGTTACAACAGAAGCCTCGAAATGGAGGTACATTTTGCCGACGCTTCTCTCAACGACGGGAAAAGACGGGGTCACAGTTATTTCCACTCACGATGTTCAGGCATGGTTAATTTTTGTATACCGAGAACTATTAACGCAGGTTCCTTTCAGCTTGTAAAACATATGTCTGTATACACATTTCCACATTCGCATTGGAAGCAGCCGTTTGTTGTCTACAGATTGATTGTGATAGGCTTGTCATTTTACTGAGTTATTTACTTACTTGGATTCTCGGTTGGCCCATCTTCACTGGTTGTGCGTGCCTCAGCACAATTTCTATTGTTTTCGGGGTTTTGTTGACCTAGCCATTGTAGTTCTTTGGAAACCCGAGGCCAGCCTAGCCAAGATCTGCCCCAAGGTCGTCACCACCACAGGCCGTGGCCGCTCTTGTGGATCAGAGGGAGATTTGCCATCATGCGATTATTTTGATACTAGGACAGTGGTGGATCCCGTTATTGATTTACTCTTAGCTGGCTTTCTGATGGTAACACGGATTCCTTCTAAGTTTGGGACACCCTCCTGAGGATGAATCTCCCACTCTACATTGCAGCCCGACACCCAGGAACACCATTAGGCCACCATGAGGAGGAAAACGTTTGGGAGGTGAAATCATTTTCGCGTAATTTTTGGAACCATAATCAATTAACAAAAACCTATGAATTTTTTTTGCAAATCTATGTACCTGAAACATGATGTGTAAGCTATGGTTTTTCCAAGCATTATACACTTCAGCAAAAGTGGATTGGATCGGTCATCTATTCGTTTATGCATATCAGGTCGATGGCGATCGTCTGCAGATATAGAGTGCAGCTGACAAAGTGCTGAAGATCGTGGTATTGGCTGAGGATGTTGCTCTGCTAGAGGTAGTGTTCGGGCTGTAGGAGAAGAGCATATTGTCTCCGATCGTCAGACGCCAGTTTCCCTAAGACGGGGCAACAGATCGACACCAAGCTGCACACAGAGGACACTGCGTACGCCCATCCAACTCTGGAATCGACATCGATTACTCAGATATCTTTCGAACACCAATCCCCAGGCTTCTCAGCTCGAAATGCAAGTGTTGGCAGCTTATTAACACATTCGTGGCTGTGAACCATACATAATTCATACATTGCGGTAATCGTGACTTTTAATCTTAAAGCAACTTATTACCAGGTCATACTGAACTCCCAATGGAATAAATGAAGCAAAAACAGTGGAATGTTATCTATAGATATGTGCCCACAAGACAAAACTTCTCTTGTTCTGGAGCCCAGAACATGCAACATGCAGTCAAGAAGGATGAAGGATAAAACTCTTGGCGTTGATCAATCCTTGAGGGATTTGCTATGCATTCGACTTCATTAAGCATCGTTTGAAGATGATTGAATGCATGTATGGCTTTTATAATGACTCGCAGTGGCCTACCGATGTATCGAGCCAGTGCTGCCATCCTCCCATATGTCTGGTATCAATTCACCGACCCCAGAGGGATGGAAGGCTTGATGCGCCATGGGCGTGGAGTTCGATTCCACGTATGTGTTGCAGGGCTTCTACGACCATTGCGCCACACGCGCCCTACGAATATGTTAAGAGATCGGATATTCGTCGATGAAAGTGTGGAATGTTTTAGATTACAAGTGACATCGGATACTGAGAAGTACAAATAAAAGGGATTTTCCGACTTTTTGCACGAGGTGATAGCTATCCCGATTGTCAAATAACCAAAAAAGGTTAACAACAACTCAGTTTTGAGGTTTAAAAGGTTTAACCGTTCCTCTCTACCTTTCGCTTTTCGGTCCTTTTCGATCTCGGACCTAAGCAAGAAAAAGCTCTTCTACGTCATCGAAACTGACCTGCAAACCGACGAGCGAAGGAGTTGAGGCACGGAGCAGTTGATGTCATGCATGTTCAGCGGAACGAGGAACGAACATAGTCCCATGAGGATGGCTGCAAATAAAATGTTGTGCTCGTCAAGGAGAAACAAGGATGCGCTAGTGGCAGTCCGCAGAAAGGTGGGTCGAAGGAAAAGTGTTATTCTTCAAAGTGGCATATCATAGCTTGGAATAAACCTTATTAATCGAGTCATAAGTTCATTCCCACGCCGCTGGGAAACCAACTAATCCCTGTCCCTCCGATGATGGAGAATCGATGCTAGGTTTTTCTAAGGGGATAAAAACATGATCTGGCTCATTGGTAGGCCTAAGAAAGACGTTATATAAGACAATATATTCATTTAATACCTCTACGATACTAAGTGAAGTCGGATACCTAACAGATCTCTGAGAGGTTCATTAACACCCAACGCTTGTCACACTTAACCCCCGAGTGAGCATGATGAAGCCACTCTAGAGCGACAAACACCACTATTAACGACGTAATCGGGACCACCATGTAACCCTGACGGGTCTTCAACCACATGTATGTGAAATCCAGCGGCTAATGATTTTATTGAACTGAAATGTGCCCAATCTTACATTGTTGGCAAAACTTTGTTGTTGTTGTTAGTTTAAAATAGTTTTTACCGTGATTAACAGTGTTTCGTCCAAGCAGAGAAATGTGTACATGCAGCCTAAGCAAAAATTTTTCCTGCCCAAGAAACCATCATTGTTTTGCGAAAGGAACAGAATTTTGTTCTCTTTGGAAAGCGACTACATCTCAACTGCACAATTCTCGCCCAACATTCCTCTCTTGCTAGATCATTCCAGTAAACGATACAAGCCGAATTCATTTTAAAACGACTTCAGCAATTCAATTGTTGGTTTAGATAACAGAAATGTCCCCCAACGCCTTTTTTTTGTTAGGAAAAAGTTTCACTCGTCCTTAATTAAAGTGTAGAGTACATCTGGAATGTCAGAACTCTTTATTAAGCAAACATCAAGTAATGTTTTGTATTATCTGGCCTCGATTTACATCAGATCATATCTTATTTAAAGATGAAGGTAAAGATAAATCTCCCGGCGTTGGCCAATCCCTGAGGGATGCGCCATGTATTCGACTTATGAAGCATCGTTTTGAGGTGAATGAATGGATATTTGGCCTTTACAATGACTCGCGGTGGCCTATCGATGTATCGAGCCAGTGCTGCTATCCTCTCAGACAAGTCTGGTAGCAATTTGCCGACCCCGGGGGATGGAAAGCTTGGTAGGCCAGTGGCGTGGGGATCGATCCTACGTGTTTTGCAAGGCGCGCCGACCACTGCACCACACGCGTCCTTACTACATCTTTTTTACAGTGTTTATTCACAATCGCCATTGTGAATAAATAGTATGGTAACCGCCTCGTGTCTGCTCATCAAAAAAACAGTGAATCATTGATCAATGCAGAGGTTAACAGAACATCGGTACGAACAAATTTCAAAAAAATTATTGCATTATTCCTCCATGAACATCCTTAGTGAAGCATTTGGATGGTCTGAAGTTGTTCCGACTCTAGCACAATTTCGATCTGAGTATTTTGCTGATTGGGCAAGTTTTTCTTTCTCCCTTGGGATCCTGAGATTTGTGTTAGGACTTTTGCGGTGGTCACTATAGGCAGACGCCATCAAGTACGAATTAGTAGGATTTTTCACAGATAGGGATTAGGTATTTTTTCAGGAGAACCACGAATACTAGCCTAGGTTTACTGTTAGCAGGGCTTTGTGATGTAAGTGAGGAACCCATATTCAGCTTGGGTAACACTCACCGACGTAGTTCGACATCCACAAAAGCCTCCGCACAACGCATAGAAACTAATCTGTGAAAAGGCTAAACTATCAGTAAGTACAATGCGATCAAAAGAAAGACTGGAGGAACTAAGAGACAATTTCTTAAGTGAGATGTGCTACCACATAGTGTGTTTCGCAACTTCGCAGTGAAAATACGGAATGATCGACCCCATGTTGTCACCGAATTTAAGATAATTTCAACGTTCCCTAGAATAGCTGATCCCGAAAGCCTTACTGTGTTCACCTCAAAAGCTCGGCTAGTGCAAAG